CTGGGTCATGATGAATCAAAACAGAGATTAAAAGATACCTGGAAACAAATGAAAATGAAGAAACATCTTACCAAAATCTCTGGGATGCCATGGAAGCTGTAGTAAGAGGGGAATTTATATCCCTACAAACGCACATAAAGAAAATGGAAGGATCACAAATTAACAGCCTAACAAGCCACCTAAAAAAGCTGGAAAAGCAAGACCACAAAAACCCTAATTTCAGCAGAAGAATTCAGATCACCAAAATAAAAGCAGAAATTCAGGACATAGAAGACGAAAAGATAATACAAAAAAATCAATGAAACAAAAAGCTGGTTCTTCAAAAGGATAAACAAGATTGATGGTACCCTAGCTAGACTGACCAAGAAAAAGAGAGAAAAAGCCCAAATAAACACAATCAGAAACACAAGAGATGAAGTCACATCTGAAGAAATACAAAAGATCATTAGAGAATACTATGTACACCTGTATGGAAACAAACTTGAAAACCTTAAGGAAATGGAGGACTTTCTGTCATCACACAACCTGCCCAGGTTGAAACAAGCAGAAATTGAGACCCTAAGTAGACCAATAACAATCAAGGAAATTGACTACATAATAAGAAAACTACCTACAAAAAAAAAAAAAAAAAGCCCCGGACTGAAGGGGTCCAGCCCATTTGCCAGGTCGTGAGATCTCCTGAAGGAGAGATGGATAGGTGAAAGATGAAAATCTTATACTCGGACACCTGCTTCCTGAACAGATGACAACCTTTATTAGTTAACAGAAAGCTTTTATACCATTCGTAAAGGGGCAAGACAAAGAAAATTCCTTCACATACATATTCTTTAAAAGTTACCACCATCTAGTGGTCTTTAGAAGAAACGAATAAGCCACAAACACTATCTACTTTCAGTCAATGAGTCTTGAGATAAGTTTTTTGGTTTTTTTTTTGAGTTGGAGTCTCACTCGGTCACACAGACTGGAGTGCAGTGGCCACTTCTGGTCACCACAGTCTTGACCTGTTGGGCTCTGGCAATCCTTCAGCCTCAGCCTTCCAAGTAGCCGGAACTATAGGCACATGCTACCATGCCCGGCTGATTTTTTTTAAATTTATTGTAGAGATGAGGTCTCACTGCCCAGGCTGTTCTCAAACCCGTGGGCTCAGGCAATCCACTCACCTCAGCCTCCCAAATGTGCAGGATTACAGGCTGAGCCACCGAGCCCGGCGACTTGAGATAAGTTTAAAAGGAGTTTCACTTAAACTAAACATAATGCATACAAGGTTTACTTGATTTCGGTTCACATCACTGTCTAATTAAAAAAGCTTAAAATCACTAAGACAAAACTACAGATTGTACGTAGTGATAGTAGGAATATGAAGCCCATTAACTTGACCAAACAACAGTGGCTAGCATTTAAAGAATAACTATGAAAATCACTTACTGTGAAAATACATACACTAATCTTTACTCTGAATAAACATATAAAGTGAACTAAACATAATGAAATAAAACTAACACAACTAAAATTATTATGGTTGCATAATTGCTAATGAGCTTTTAAGTTTAGGATAATGGTGATTTGGCTGTTTTCCCTTATGCTTGGCTACCTCCTGGAAAACATCTTTGTCTTAAGATAGGCACTGGAGCAATTATTATTATCTTTGAGGCACCAATTTTATCATTGTGTGAACTTAAACTTATGAACTTAAAACAATCTTCAAAGTAGCTATAAAACACTAAACTATAGCATTAAAACTTAATTAATGACTCAAAGTAAAAACCTTGTTAAACATAACCAGAGCCTAATAATTTTTGTCAACCCTCATACATATGTATATTGATTATATAAACTTGTATGATATTACATTTACCAATTACAATTAATACATGGTTAAAACAATTATCATGTCTAGAATAGCACTGCCAGCATCTTTCTTCAAAAGCGTCCCAAATTACAGTCCTTGAAGTGCTTTAAGAAAGTTTCCAGGTGCAAAGTTCTTCATGTAGCAGTTTTTTCTTTTGGGCTTTTACGACCTTCAAAGCTTTGTAATTGCCTTTCTTGTCCAGGTGTCTTCGTTACTTTTCTCTTAT